TTCCTATTGTATGATGAATTTTGTGATTGATTGTTTGGATAATAATTATTTCTTGATTGGGAATTAGATCTAGAAACAAATCGTTGTGTATTTGAATGTGATCTGGAGTAGTTATTTCGACTATTTGGTCTATTGTAGTGATTTTGTGATGAATTATGCGTGTTTCTTCGTTCTGGTGATCTTCCTCTATAACTTGAGTTATATGGTGATTGATTTCTTGTATAATTTGTATTGTTCGGGAGTGGTTTTCCTGAACTGTTGTTGCTGTAGACTGTTTTGTTCGGTAGATTTTGATCTTTTTTCATGTATTGATAGAATGATTTATTTGGTTCTTTATATTTTTGAGGTTTATTTTGATTGTCTTGCTGTTTTTGTCTACATTCAGAAATACTATGTCCGTATCGTCGGCAATAATTACACCATTTTTTGAAAGATGGTTTGCCTTTAAAGTTTGGGTGTTTTTCGTAAATATTGAGTATTTCAGTGATTTTTTCAACGAGATCTGTATCTGATTCCTGTATATTGTTTATATTTGTGGAAGCTGTTTCAATTCTGTTAACGTATTGTAATTTCAGATTTTCCGTTTCTTCGAGTTTCATTGTGATTTCTGCTTGTTCTAGTTTGTCTACTAGTTTTCGAAAATCTAAATCGGGTTCTCGAATTGACGAAGGATGGGATGCTCTCTTTTTTATTGCTATTTTCCTTAATTGTGGTGTTAAGGTCATCATTAAGATTTCTGTCATCTTTGTGTTTTTATAGTCATGTGTATTTAATGAATATGCTTTTCGAACTAGTGTTTCGATTCGTACTGCTAATTGCTTGATGGTTTCGTTTGGTAATCTGCGAATTTCATTACATAAAACTCTTTGTTGTTGTTTGTTTCTTTCGGAGTCAAACATTTTTGAAAATTCTTGTGTAAATCTTTTCCAATTTGATTTTATTTCTATAGGCAATACTGAAAACCATTTTTGGGCTGCGCCATCTAGAGTTGTTTGTATTAATGCTGCGCGTCGATGTATCCAGTTTTGATGTAGTGGCGTGTTAATTGGTTCAGGTCCTATATTTAAAATCAAATTTGCTGTGACTGCATTTAAATAGTCTTCTACAGAATATTCAGGGTCTGTTCCTGTGAATACCATTAAAGGTTTATTTGATGTTATTGATGATCTACCCATAAGGTATGGATTCATCGTCATTTGTAATGATTCTGCTGCATTTGGCATTTGAGAAAAATTTGAAAGTTGATTTCTTGTTATTTCGTGTTGTTGAAGATAATATGGGAGTGGTATTTCATTTTGCATTTGTGCTGGTTGGTACGAGTTTGCAATCGTTGGGTTTTGTTGCTGAATTGGTTGAAAAGATTTATTAATTGGGTTTTGTTGTTGAATTGGTTGTTGAATTTGTGTATCTATTGGTTGTGGAGAAAAAATTCTATGATATGTATGTGGTTTCTGTATTCCTTGTCCACGATATTCTTGATTATAGGGTGTAAATATATCTGGTTGTAAGAAATCATCATCTGAGGATAAGTAATCCATTTGATAAGATGTTTGTTTTTTATTTTTATTTTGTTGAAAAAATGGATAGTTTTCACTACGATCCTGTGGAGGATGTAAATTTGTTTGGAAATTTACTGAATTAGGTGGTGCCATTGGGTTATCCCAGTTTCGAGATCTTGTATAATTACTAAAATTTTTTCGTGGTTGATAATTTGTTTTTGATGGATGTGTGTAATTATATTTATGGTCTGCAAAGTTGTTTCTAGTGAACGTTTTGCGTGTTTTTGGCGGTATTGTCATGGGTCTGTATGTTTGGTAATCCATGTGTGAATATTTTGGGGCAACCGAAGGTTTAACGGTTGATTGTAATGTTACCTGTGTTTGTGAAGAATTTGTATTTCTTGGTGTTGTTAAGTTTGGACGTATTGGTGAAATACTTTGTTGTGTAGTTGTTGTGTGTACGATTTCTTCATTTATGAAGTGTGATGGTGTCTGGATATCTTGTTGAGTAAGATTCCTAGTTCCATTGAGGTTTTCATTGTGTATGACTGTAGAGTTTAAACTATTATTTTGCATATCGGGTAAAAATGTATTATAGTTTAATGGTGTTGCATCAATGGTTAATGGTATTACTCGTACATAATCTCTTACATAAGATATCGTACTTATTGCTTGACTTGAGATTGATTGTGGGAAGTTTATGAATGCGGGATGAGACCATTCGGGGTCCCAAACATAGTCTGATTGTTCTGTGATGACAGTATCATCGTTTGAGTTTTGGGGTCTAAAATTTTTTCTTGCTTGTGAAATTAAATCAATATTATGTGTGAAATAATCTATTATGAACCATGCCAAGATTTTTTGTAAGTCGTGTTTTGTATGTTGTGAAACTTCATCTTTCGTGAAATTTTCTTTAATTATATTTAGAAAACTAGAGAGTAGTGTGATTTCATGTCGTACTCTTATATGTTTAGATGTTTCTGTCGGTGAGACATTTGGTATCTGGATTTCGTTTTCTAATATCGAGATATAACTATATATTATCGCAAAAACTTCATTGGTGAATATGGAGTTTGCTCTTTGTGAGTTATGATATTGGATGCTTTTTATATATTCTGAGAATACTTTTGAGAATTCTAAATCAAGGTCGTCTGTTTGAATTATATATTTACTGTGATTCTGGTTTGGTGAGCTGAATTCTATGGAGTAGATTCCGTATTGTTGTGTTAGGTTACATATATCTTTTAGATAGTGATCGATAATTTGTCTTTTGATTTTTACATCTGGGAACTCTGTTTTACATGGACTGATTCCGGGTTCAAACAAATTTAATAGTAGTAGTAATAAATTTTTGCAGAATATATGCTGTCCTCTATCAGTGGTTGCATCTACGATAAAGGGGAAAATATCATCATCATCTGGACTTTCTTCACCTGGGGTGTGCGTTGAGCTCATTTTTTCGTTCGATGACTGTTAATATGTAATTATCAATGTGTCTAATTGGTTGATTCCAATTGTATAAATGTACTGGTTTGTGTTTATACTGCTTTTTTATTCTTCTTTTTCCTCTTTTTGATGAATTTGAAGTTGTTTCTGAGTCAGAGAAATATAATTGATCGTGAATTGGGCAATTTTTATCTATTGATTCTTTTAGTTTATAAAGTTCGTCTAAACTGTTGGTTTCTGATTCTGAAAATGCGTTTCGATTTTTTGAAAATCTTTTTCGTGTTATTTGTCTTTGTTTAGTTATTATTTTTCTCTTTAATGTTTGTCGTTTTGTTCTAATGTATCCAACTGTTTGTGTATGAGGTGTGATTACAAGGTCGTATTTTTTGTTATTTATTTCACAATTGTGTAAAACGATTGTTTGTTTATTTCCTAGGTTTTTAAATGACATAAGGTTTAGGATGACGGATGCAAAAGGTTGTTAAATGATTTCTATTTGCTTAAACTGTTAGTCCTTACGATTTTTTTGTTAGCCTAACCTGGGTCTATTTGTTCAGGGTTGGGGAGAAAAGTATATCGATTCCGAAGAATGATTTTATACTTTCTCGTGGCTAGTATAAGCTAAGGTGTTAACTTACTTAATCTTACTTAAGGGTAGTGATTGTGTTTAGGGTTGGAGAATAGTAAATCGATCCACAGGGTTCAGGTATAATTAGAACGCGAGTAGTTCGTTAGATACTATTTTAAACTTACTAAGTCTAAGATTTATCCTGGGTCTGGTAAGAGGGGGGATCAAGTGAAGGATGAATAACCGAAGTTCTTCACTGTTTATCCTAATTTGAATGATTAGTTTTGTTCAAAAATTTCTATTAGTCCTGGGTTTTTAGAAAGGGTTGGATAGTGAATCGACGTTTGAGGTCGTTAGACACTCGTTTAGTGGGTGGGGGAGAACAAAGTTGTTCTTTTTGATCCAAGGATAGGCCTTGATGATCAAGTTTTAAATTTAATTAAATAGAAAATGATTTAAGATCCAAGGATAAGCCTTGATGATCTGATTTTAAAATTAAGTGAATTTAAGTTTAAAATGTTTTAAATTTGTGTAAAGAATAGATTTAGTATTTTTATGATATTAGTGAGCTTATGATTGCTGTTATGTTTAGGCGATGAAGCTGGAACAACAGGATGATTTATAATTACTAATCATTTATTGTCATGCTACTAATTTTTATTTTGATTTTTCAATAAATATTTTTCAAACATGTTTTGTATATTACTGCAGAATTTTGGGAAACGATCTGAGATCTTTTTATCAATCGTTATTGTATATTAATAATTTTGTTTAGCGCCTGAAATGATTTTGAAGATTGACTTCAAAATTTTATGTTTGCAAATGAAAATCTAAATTCATTGCTATTAGTATTCTAAATACAAAAGTTTGTTGTGGCTTTTGCCGAACTATCATATAACTATATGGTAAGTTTCTGCTTTGTCGTATGTCGTCTCTGGTTCGAGGTCTTCTTCCAATTCCGGGTAGTTCTGTTATCGTTCGGAATATTGGCTCTGATCTATTGAGTCGTAGAGACATTTCGATTAAATTATTGTCGTATAACATTTTGTAAATGTTTTGTCTAAATTCTAATCTATTATTGGTTAATGCTAAGCTATTAAGGTCTTGTTCGAGACTTATGGTCGCACCAGATGAGTTATATTCGATGGGTATAACTCATAGAGTAATTTCGGATAGGGTACACCGTCTGCTCGTCACGCTATCTTATTTTCGGCCGGATAGATTCGTGCAACTTCTTAGTCTAATACCGATCCTAATCTTACTCTTATACTATCTAGTCTCAGGTTGTTTAACTAGTCTCTGCTAGGCTCAATAGATCTAGGGTATACTGGTTTATTGCGGCTGCTGAAGTACTCGGGAGAGTTCAACTGATTTCTAAGTTAAATTCAAATCTCTCTGGTGCTGAAATTACAAGTAATTTCAGCACTTACAAATAAGTGGATTGTTAGTTAGATGGATCATGATTGGTTAATATTAAATACTTTACATTGGTAAAATATCTAATTTATCCAATCATAAAATGTAGTTTAGATCAGGTTCCACCTAGTATAAATAGCCCATCGCTTTTTTCGAAAGCTGGAATGCTGATTTACGTGGATATTTTTGAGAAGTATGTTAGAGGCTCACATAAATTTTCTAAGTTCTTTGTACTGTGCGTTTTACCTGCACTTTATGATTATCCCATATTAAAATTTAATTTCTCTGTTTAATTTAGCAGTCATTGCCGAAGCAGTTGTTATTAAAGTTGTTTTATAACTCAGGTGACGTGTGAGTGTGGTTTTAGGTCGACATTGGCATCAATTCGGTGCTGACCAGTACAGGATTTCTTGTCGCTGTCATCCGGTTGACCTCATTTTGTGTTCTACGACGGCGGTAGAAATCGTAGAGCAGAGCGGCTGTGAGAATGAGTGCAAAAGTCAGTGCCAGCACAATCCAGTTCCACGCACTTCTCGGTTTATCTGGTACTTCCTAAAAAGTATAATAAAGCTTTTTTAATTATGACTCAATGGACGCTTTAGTGGGCTACACTGGAATGAAAAACATTCAGAATTAGCTTTAGAGAGGTTTATGAGGCCATGATTTAATACTGTCAAATGTTAAAAAAATGTAATTTGACGATATTTAACTACAAATAGCTCCAACACTAAATATCAAGTTGAAGAAAGCTCCGTTTGCTATAAAGGTTTTAGACAGTTTTGCGAACACATTTTTCAATAAGGTTCTAGTTTTCAATTGCTAATTGATTATTTTTTAACAATTTTTTCAGGCATATTCAAAAAATTTTATGAAATTCATACAATTTGAATGAATACAAATTTTTTTATTCCTTTCCCTCACAAACACAAAATTATGTATAACGCTATATACATGAAAACATGTTGTTTTCAACAGTTTGATTGTACCTATTCAACTTAGAATTTTTGTTCCGACTTTCGATATTTGTGCTCGGGGTGGGGTTTTTTTCAGACAAATTTCGACTTTTTAACAAGCCATTTTTGACGGAATTTTCTCATATCATTCAAAAAGTATTGTTATCCTAAGCTTAAATTTGCAAAGATATTTTCACCTGTGATCATTTTTCGTAAAGCTGTGAGAAATTTAAGATTGCAATTTTGACCAATTTGGGACAACTAACGAGCGATATAATTCGCGCTATTTACGCGTAAACGGAGATATAATCCGTCTGAGAAATCGTTCTAAATTGGTTGAACGAAGCTTATTTGCCATAATTGATTTGTTAAAAGGAACGAAATCTATTCTTCTGTACTTTATATGACGTGTGGGGTGATGATTTTCATAAAAAATTTCAAATTAAAAAAAAATCATTTTATTTTATTTTATTTTTTAAAGTTATTACTGATCCATAAACCTTAAAAGGCAGTCGATAAATTCAGGGCTTCTCCCTGAAACGAGCAGTCTTGTTTTGAATAAAGGTTGTTGTTCCGACTTTCGATACGAAAGTAACAGAATATTTGTGCTCGGGGTGGGTTTTTTTTCTTCAGACAAATTTCGACTTTTTTAACTAGCCATTTTTGACGGAATTTTTTTTATAGCATTCGAAAGCTATTGCTATTCTGAGCTTAATTTTTGAAAAGATATTTCACCTGTGATCATTTTTCGTAAAGTTATGAGGGTTTAAAGATTGCCATTTTGACCAATTTGGGACAATTAACGCGCGATATAATTTGCGCTATTAATGCGTAAGCGGAGATTTAATCCGTCTTATAAATCGTTCCAAATTGGTTGAATGAAGCTTATTTGCCATAACTGATTTGTTACGAGGAGCGAAATTTCTCTTTTTGTATTTTATATGGCATGTGGGGGATGATTTCCATCAAAAATTTCAAACTTTAGAAGAAAAAAATTTTCATTTTATTTTATTTCATTTCATTTTTTATGTTATTACTGCTGCTCCATAAACCTTAAAAGGCAGTCGGAACATTCAGGGCTTCGCCCTAATACGAGCAGTCTTGTTTTGATTTAGGTTGTTGTTCCGACTTTCGATACGAAAGTAACGGAATATTTGTGCTCGGGGTGGGTTTTTTTTCTTCAGACAAATTTCGACTTTTTTAACTAGCCATTTTTGACGGAATTTTTTTTATAGCATTCGAAAGCTATCGCTATTCTGAGCTTAATTTTTGAAAAAATATTTCACCTGTGATCATTTTTCGTAAAGTTATGAGGGTTTAAAGATTGCCATTTTGACCAATTTGGGACAATTAACGCGCGATATAATTCGGGCTATTTACGCGTAAACGGAGATTTATTCCGTCTGAGAAATCATTCTAAATTGGTTGAACGAAGCTTATTTGCCATAATTGATTTGTAAAAAGGAACGAAATCTATTCTTCTGTACTTTATATGACGTGTGGGGTGATGATTTTCATAAAAAATTTCAAATTAAAAAAAAATCATTTTATTTTATTTTATTTTTTAAAGTTATTACTGATCCATAAAACTTAAAAGGCAGTCGATAAATTCAGGGCTTTGCCCTGATACGAGCAGTCTTGTTTTGAATAAAGGTTGTTGTTCCGACTTTCGATACGAAAGTAACGGAATATTTGTGCTCGGGGTGGGTTTTTTTTCTTCAGACAAATTTCGACTTTTTTAACTAGCCATTTTTGACGGAATTTTTTTTATAGCATTCGAAAGCTATTGCTATTCTGAGCTTAATTTTTGAAAAGATATTTCACCTGTGATCATTTTTCGTAAAGTTATGAGTGTTTAAAGATTGCCATTTTGACCAATTTGGGACAATTAACGCGCGATATAATTCTCGCTATTTACGCGTAAACGGAGATTGAATCCGTCTGAGAAATCGTTCTAAATTGGTTGCACGAAGCTTATTTGCCATAATTGATTTGTTACAAGGAACGAAATCTATCCTTCTGTACTTTATATGACGTGTGGGGTGATGATTTTCATAAAAAATTTCAAATTTAAAAAAAATCATTTTATTTTATTTTATTTTTTAAAGTTATTACTGATCCATAAACCTTAAAAGGCAGTCGATAAATTCAGGGCTTCGCCCTGATACGAGCAGTCTTGTTTAAATTGTTACAAGTTACGCGTGAACAAAACTGGTAAATAGCGCGCATTTGTTAGCACAAATTTGCCAAAATTCAATAATCAAACACATCAAAATCCTCCAATTATAAATTTCATTTCAGTTAGCAAGAGAAATAAGCACTTGAGAACATATATTCACGCAAATTACTGCATTGAAGGGATTCACTTTCAACTTGAGCAAGTCTAAGATTTACCGCGTTAGTGAAAGTAAAACCTGTGCGACATTTCGTCATAAATATATTTTTTCATTATCAACAATCTAGACTCAATTTGCTTGAGAAAATGACATATAAATGAGACACTTGAGAAAAAATATATATTTTGTAGCAGAACACTTACATATGACTTATAATCATAGTTTCATTTCGGGCCAAATATCAAAACGAAAAATCAATTGAAAAGCTTAGCTTAAAATGTTTTCTCTATTGCTTGATAGTGTAAAAATCTGAATAGTCAGATGAATATACTAAGAGCTGGAACTGGATAAAAATCTATTCATTTTGATTTAAATCAGTTTAAATCAATTTTGTTGTTTATAAAATTTATATGAATGTGAAACGGAAACCAATCAATCCGTTCAAAACCAATTGAGAACGTTTTTTTAAAAATTTTTTTGTACCAAACTAAATTGATTTTAAATCACTTCAAATCGTTTTGTATAGCTCTTTGCTACATTATTTGGATGAAATTGATTGCAATCTGATTCTTTACTACGGGTTTTAACTCGCATACCCTAGCAAATGTTAGTAAATTATTTCTTCAGGGGTTTGATTAATTCAATAAATTGTTTCTTCTGCGACTAATTGTTATAGCGATTGAATTAATTCCGTTGGTAATTTTCATAATAACCCAAAGTGCAGGACTCGATTGCTATAAGATTTATAACAAAACAAATTTTTTGATAAATTAAACGTTTCCATTTCAGTTTTTTTTGTAGTTTTCAGGAGTTGTAAATTTTCAGCTGTTTGCGACCATGTAACGTTAGGTTATTTCTTTTTTGAGACGTAGGTTCTACATCTACAGGATTTTGTGACCAAATGGCTGACCAATCCTTGAAATTTGTTCATTGAAATTAGCATTACTTTTCAATAGAAATATTTGAAATTTGAAACCCAAATTTTTGATGGCTAAAAAATTGAGATTGTTTTTTATTTACTTTTGATATGCTTTTCATTGCTATGGTTTTAATAATTATTATGAGAAAGATTATGATGATCATCATCAATTTGATTTTGTTTCTTAATGAGACTATTTTCAACAAAAAGTGAAAAAATTTTGTGCTCGTTGTGTTTCATCTTCTCTAGACAATTTTCGGATTTTTGAAGGAATTGATATCATCCAAAAAAATGTTGTCAAATTAAAACTCAAGCAAACGCTTCATCTGCTTATTGTTTGTTAAGTTATGAGGGTGTGAAAGTTGCCAAATTGGGACAAATAACTAGCAATTAACGCAAATTGTGACTTTTGCGATAAGTTTCCATCTTTTAACCTGTAAGCTGAGCTATTCAATCCGCCTTAGAAATCGTTTCAAATTGGTTGAAGCCTGCAATTCGTCATAATTGATACATTAGAAGATCAATGTCTATCACTCTGTGTTGTACATGGCATGTGAAGAAATGTTTTTAAAAAATCAAAACCATGTGATAAACTTTGCTCTCAGTAAAGTAGCAATTGGAATTGATAGCATGCTTCAACCAATTGGGAAAAATTTTTTATGAAGGAACAAATCTCTGCGTGCGCGTTAATAGCACGAAACAAATCACAAAGTAATCGCACAGAATTGGCCATATCGAAAAATGGCTCTTTTCCAGTCCCCCCCCCCTTTGTTAAAAGAGATGTTCAAAAATTGTTCACACGGCAATTTTCATGTTAGAAATGTTGTGAAAATTTGTTCAGCTGTTCACGCTGACACGTTTCAATGCAGTTTATAACATTAAAAATTATTTTAAAAAGACTTTCATGTAATGAATTTCAGAAAAAAAAGAAGGGGGGGACTGGAAAAGAGCCCGAAAAATTTTATACCCCCATAACTTCTCAAAAATTTATCACAGGCGAGTTATCTTTCTGAATTTGAGCTCAAATTAACAAAATTTGTCGGATGGTAAAAAACTGTTAGTTAAAAAGTCAAATTTGTGTTTAAAAAATAAATAAACCGAGCACAAACGTTTCTTCTCTTTTTTTGAACGTCGGAATTAAACTAGTCTTAATCATAATATCCAAAATAATCATAATCATACTCACGATATTCATAGTAAGCTGGGCTAATGTTAATAATATTGATGATAACCTTTATAAGTAAATTCAACCTATTAACAACAAGACTGCTCGCATCAGGGCGAAGCCCTGAATGTTCCGACTGCCTTTTAAGGTTTATGGAGCAGCAGTAATAGCATAAAAAA